CATAAACTCATCCTAACCATCGACGCAGCTAAAGTTTTTCGAAGCGATCTTCTTTGACGTTTTGTTTAGTACTTAATATTGGTTTTTTCTTTTCTTTTCATTCCTGTTATAGGAGAAAAAATCCAGAAAGAAACTCGTTTTCGACGAGGAACATGACGATGAACGAGAGTTAATTGACGTCGATATGGATATTTTCGATGTACCTAACAACGAAGACGATGAAGAATCTAAAAGTGATCCAACCAACGATAACGAAAAAAATGATTTATTTTCTTCATTCAGAAAGAATAATAATGAAGATCCTGAAAATGAACTTCATGTTTCTCTTACCAAGTAGATAGTTAACATGAAGAATAGTTCAGCTTCGGAACACGATGCAGACTTGTTTGTGAAAGATTCTCTAAATGTGATGGCGAGTCTATCAGCTATGAAAGTAGTTTAATGTCGAATTATAATTTATATTGTTCGAAACAATGTTTTTTTCTTTACTAGAAAAATTATCTGCCAACTCTACGTTCATAGATAAATACAACATATGTACGACAAAAGTTCTTAGATGAAGCATTTACTGTTTGCAAGCCTAAAGGTGTCGTATTAGGAGAGAAGGTAGCTATATTTTTTGTCTCAACAGAGATTCTCTTTCGTCTTTTATTTCTGCTAACGCCAATAACAGCTAATCATTTTGTCACAGAAACGAGAGAAGCTCGAGACGATTTTATTTAAGTTTCTTAATACTTAGAAAAACCTATTTGCTTCGGGATGTCCTAAAAAAATAAATATTAATATGTGGAAAGGTCTGGAATTAGTAACCTCGGTCTTTCAAATCCGGCTGTGGAGCTATGGCGACCTTTTGAGTCCTCTAAATTTTATATGTATGCTTCTTTTATCCTTTTTCATGTTATAGCAAAAAATGAAATTTAGCAGATCCAAAGGTCGTCATGTGCCGAACTTCAAACGTGGTTATTTTGTTCCGTTCCTTGACAGTTTGAAAAACATACTTTCATTACCAGAAATGTTCAATATTATCACAAATGATGTGTTGTCAAAGGTCTCACTAAAAAATGATTTAAAAACTGATATTTTCCACGGAGATTTTTGCCAAAATCATACGATATTTAAAGAAAAAAGCTCATTAAAAATTGTGTTATACTATGATGATATTGGTATAACAAATCCACTTGGAACAAGAAAACGTGGTGTTGGAATGTTTTATTACACACTGTGCAATATACCTCGTTTTCTTCGTTCTCAAGATCGTTCTATACATTTAGTTGCATGCGCTGATAAAGCGGATATCAATGAATTTGGTATTCAAAGATTGTTGAAAGATTTTATCGACTCAATTAATATTTTACAAGAGAGTGGAATTGAAATTGAGCTCACCAACAGTAACTCATCTATCATTGATGCCACAACAATAACAATTTCAAAAACAATGGTGCTCAAGGGCTCATTGCTAGTGATTGTTGGCGATCTATTATCACTAGCCGGCATCCATGGATTTAAAATGGGATTTCGTCATGCACTTAAGCCGTGCTTCTTATGCAATATTGACAACACAGATTTAAATACAATTTCAGCTATTGATACATGTCAACATCGAACAATGAGCGCTTATTTAACTCAATGCACAGAAATTGAAAATGCAAGGACAAATGAGGAACGTGATGTTCTTTGTAAGAAATTCGGCATAAATCATCGCTCAATATTTACAAAAATTAAAAATTTTGATATTTTTGAACAGACTGCATTAGATGTGATGCATCTATTTCTTGAAGGTAAGGGTTTTTTTAGCAGTCATACAGTTTTTAAGGATTTTTGAGGTACTTGAAAGAGTTCTCTTCAGTTCAACCAACAAAAAGACGGTTATACAAAAAATACGAACAAAATATAGGCTACAAAGCTTTACACCGCCCCTCTGCATTAACCATGTATTTTGTTTTTCTCATTCATAGGTATTTGTAAAAAACAGTTAACATTATTTTTCACAAGTGTATCAGAGGGCGTTGTTTGGGACAGGCGGCATTCCTGGACGAGCATTTGCCCCGCTATTGCTGAATTTCGCTATCCAACAGCCGATGAAGCTCCCAGCTCGTCGTTCAGTTGGAATAAAGATAACCAAATTCCATTGTCATCATCTCAAATGTTAGCCGTAATAAAAAATATTAGTTACATAATAAGAAATTTACTTGGTGATGAACCGACAATGAATAACGAATGGAAATGTATTTTGTTGTTAAGAGACATAGTTTCTATAGCATTTGCTACAGAGATAGACACAAAAACAAAGCAGCAATTCAAATCGTTAATTGAAGATTATTTAAAACTCTATGATGAGAGTTATACATCTGAACAACGTATACCTAAACACCATTTCGCTATTCATCTCTGTAAACAAATATCGTCGCTCGGTCCTTTAAGGTTTACAAATTGTTTAGCTTTCGAAAAAAAACATTCGTTTTTCAAAAGTCATACGTACAGAAACTTCAAAAGTTTAGCAAAATCATTAAGTTTACGTCATCAAAACTTCATTGCTAAACAAATGTTAACATCAGAAAACGTGGCCACTAACAATTATTTATACGTCGGTCACAAACTCGGTGATCTCAATCTAATTTCTGATGTTAGCAATGAGCTGATCGATCACACTCTTCCTGTCTATGAAGCTCCCAAAAAAATTACTATATATGGCATTACCTATACTCCAGGTATGGTAATGTTAATGAACAAAAAACACTTTCCAAAAACACTGAATTTCGTCCTCATTAAACATATTTATATTCAAGAACAAAAAATTATTTTTAACGGGCAACAATATTGTATTCTGGATAAAAACGATAATCTATCTGCTTATGAAGTATTTTTAACAACAAACGAAGTTTTTTTCGATCTTTTTGGTATTTCATTTGTTTTTCCTTTGCATGAACATGCTGTTGGTGAGAGAAAATATATCAGCATTTTCCCCTACGGAAGATGTTAACAAGTTCGTTTTGTTTAATTTAATTTTTTTGCTATTTGAGGACGAGTCTGAGCGAGGGTTTGACGAGAATTTAGAGCATGTTTTCTTCGTTTAAGAAGTGAAGTACTTTTTTCGAATTTTAGAAAGATTCGATAAGAAACTCTTTTCCAGTACGTTTAAACTTCTCAGATCCACTAAGATCTTTTGAAAGCTTTTAGTCTGAAAATAAGCAGTGCTAAAATCACTATGCTTTCTTCTTCTTAATTAAATGTGGTTTGTTTTTTCTTTCACCGATTTTAGCCCTACGATGGTTACCGTAAACGGTATCGTTATAATAGATGGCTTTCCCGAGCGTTTTTTGGATGAATGTGTATCTGTTGCTGATTTAAAACAGAAATTAATAAATGAATTTAATTTAAATGAAAATGATGGTCGAGTGTTACTATATTTCGATGAATTTGTCAAGGAGTATTGTGTTTTAAGAAAATTAGATTCATTATATACAGCACCACCACAAAAGTTATCATTCGAAAAACTACCCAATACAATAACACAGGTTCTTTTCACAGTCCGAAAAAGGGGTAGAATACTAGTGACCTTTTTAGAAAAACTGAACGAGGCTAGAAATAAACAGTCCGTTCCATTCGAACATGCAACTTGACAGCTACAGAATTAGAGATACGTTTGCTAGTAAGAGCATAGGTTTTCATCTGTGAACAGTTGCAACCGTAGAGCTAGAGCTCATCTTATATCATCACCATAACAGACTATCTTTGTAATATAAACTTTTGTGTTTGTTATAAGGTCTACTTGGAAGCTGAAGGCGGAACACAAATTAAAACAACAGCACCAGCAATAACAACAGAAGCTCCTAGTGGGGAGAATATCGTCGCAGCTACAAATATGCTGCTCAATAAATCCTCTGTTGTGAGTTGCAAAGTACTTTTATTCTGTTTCGCTTAGAAACTCTTCTTTCTTTGTTTTTTTGTTTACTAAGGACATTGTTTCTGCCTGGGAAAATGAAGAAGGGGAAATCACTTCACTTGATCCAGATGTGGATGACAGTAACAGTTGTACAACGAAACAGCCCGTCAAACGTGAATCAAACGAAGTACGTATCAAAAGAGACCCTTCAGATCAATTGATTAAGCTTATCCATATATTTTTATTTTTTATTTCACATAGATATATGAAGTACCGGAATGGATAAATGATACTGTGTATCCTCCACCTTCATTTACAGTTTTTGTCGAGAATAAGATCATGAATGGTTAGTGTAAACAACTTTATGTTGTTTATCTCTTCTAAACTTTGTCTGCTGTTTTTTTGTTCCGTAATAGGTGATATAACAAACATAATTAGTGATATGGTGAATGATGCACGATTGTTTTATCGTAAATACAAATTAACAAAAAAGTCTCATTACGAAACAATCGTGAAATCTATTCTTGCTAAATATGATAAAAAGTATTCACTTAAATTGAAACAACAATTGGTATTTTCACCTTCTTTCGCTTCTCGACTGCTCTGTAATTTCTTCTTGTATTTTCAGGCATTATTTAGACAACGGTTAGCAAAAGCCATTCGAAATGATCGATTTCAACAACGTCTGAAGATGAAAAAAAGTTCCGGAGCTCAGTGGGATGATCGGCATCAGGCGGCTGCTGATGAAGAGAAAGAAAACGAACAAGGTCGCAGCGCGAGCTGCATCACCACTTTGTCCATTTTTTCCACCTAACTTTATTTGTTTTTCTATGTCTCTGTCTAGACGATAAAGGAAACGAGGAGCAAGATGAAGCCGAATTAGAAAAGTACGTTAAAGCGCTTAACGAATTATTTAATGATGGAATATATAGCAGCAACAAGAATAGATTCAAACAACTAATTATTTCGTCGTATCATCTTCGTGCTAAACATGTATCAAACAATAATATATTATTTCGGGATATGATTAAAAACATGCCATTTACGAAAACGCTCGATTTCGTAAATATACATATTTGATTTGCTACTGTTACTTTAATGTACGAATTTTCTGTAGGTCAAAGCTGAATTTGAAGTTCGCACTCAATCAACAGTAGCCAAAACTTCCCAAAATATATTAAAATTATTTGATAAATTAAAAATATTATATCCAGATGTTGATCATTCACAAGTATAGCTGTGTTAAAGATCTTATTTTGTTATTGTTGCTACTATATGTTTCATCATTGGTGTTTTATAGAGATATCACGAATTAGAATTACTCAATATGTTAGCTAAAAGTCGCAAAAATCTACAATCAATATTTATTCGTTTTGATGCAGGTTTTTGTGAAATGTTTTATACTAGTTTTTATCGATCCCTTTTATGTAATAATACTTTATGCTGTCTCATTTTCTATTCGTACAGATGCCCGATGATACAAAAAAGAGTTTTGATGAAACATTTGATAAAATGTGTAGTCAACAGCCAAATACATTTACCGTAGTCTATTTGAAGATTAATGACGACGAATATGATTTTTATCTTATTTACTCAAATCTGTTAAAATTCGACCTAACGGGTTCAACGATAGCAGTTATGTGTGCTGTATTTTTAGCTGCTTTTTATTCATTCGATCTCGGTTTTTTGACAAAACAAAAACCGGTAGCAGACGTAATTGACAGTTACGCTTTTAACCAAATGTCGAAATATAAGAACACATATGGAGTAATAGCTAAACAGATGCTATTAGATTTAGATAATGAAAAAAAATAAACAGATAGCAAATATAGTATTTCTTAGAGCACATCGCCTTTTTCCTACATTTTTTATGTTAAATCAGCTTACTCTACCTCTTTTTTACTTTTTTAAAAAGACTTTTAAATTAGAAATCGCGTGAACCGGCTGATTCTTTCTATTTTGTACGAGTCTGTTTTCGCTTTATGCTCTTCTGGTAAAAAACTTGTTTGTTGAAAAAAGTGACATTAAAAATCAAACAAATTCGACGTTACTTTTATTCTGTACGATTTTAAAAACCGTATGTAAAAGCGCAATCAGTAGTAAACAGGAACATTTACTTGTAATAATCTTCACTTCGCCGCTTCACACCGTTGTACACGGTTTCGCTGCTGAAAGAATTGAACTTCGTACGACTGACTTCAATGATAAAAAAAGAATGACAGATCAACTGTACATATTTGCATATATAAAATTGTACATACTTTTTCGTTTGAGAAATAGGGAAAAGAAAAGAAACAATCGTCGCAAGTGTTTAGAAACAGACGGACAGATGTATGTACGAAAAAACTCATATTTGATAGAACGAAAGAAAAAAATGTGCAAAATATAGCGTACACAGTAAAAGGGAGTTTCAGAATTGAGGAGTAGTTTTGATCTTATCTACTTAAACACAGTAGATCAGCTTTAGCGAAACTAGTAGTAACGAAACAGCTAGTAGCGGAACTCTTTTTTGAAAAATCTCTCTTATAAGCTTGTTTCTTTACCTGATTTAGATGAACATTTTAATTCCCACATATAAAATATATAATATTATTAAATGAACTTCGATCTTCAGGAAGTTACTGAGTCGACTACTTATTGCAATTAATTTAAGTAGCGATTCAAGTACCTGCATTGTATCGGGTTCTAAAACATCGAATTAAACCAGACAAAATGCACTTAAGGCACTTTCAGG